CACTCTCTTCTGTATTCCCTCAAGGCGACTCACCTGCAATCCGGTGAGCCCTTCATTCCAAACAGCAACAGCATACTCTAAGGCTGGTCAAATATACCCTTATACACAGTCATTTATTGAGACCTGCTTAGTTCGCGTAACATATACATCTTCTTATTAATATTAGCTTTCTCAATCATCAGGTTAACATGATTTTTCCAATTTAAGTTAGACTGGAATATGCTCTTGAGATCTGACATTTAAATATTCAACAAACCATTGTTTTAAAGGCTGAAATAGGACATTTGTATCCTAATTAGGAAGTATGCAAAGTTTCTCTTTTTTCTGGCAAGGGGTTTTTGAGATACAGTATGACAAAAAACAAGAATAAAAGTAAATAGCGCCCTCAATTGGGCCAAATCCCAAAAAATACCCACAACTTTTTATTTCATTTCGAGTTTGTTATAAGTATTGATCATAGAGATATAATAAGAATATTAGAGCGCTAACAGCAATGTATTCGATGTTCGAAATACGCAGAGCTGTGTGTGTGTACCATCCAAGATGGCTGCCATAGATTCAGCCAATCAAATTTCGCCTGAGCACTATCATTTTCAATGGCGCCTTCAATTTACACAGAAAGTTCAGTACAGCTAGTTAGCCGTATGTTTGAAACTCGAGCGTTGCGGTGTATGGGTGTAATGTTCACGATTTTAATTTTTTAAAATATTTGAATAAGATGCTCTACTTGCCTCTTTTTGGCTATGACAGTTTAATAATTTGTCATTATCAATAATAATTATCAATAATAAAAAAATATTCAGTCAGAGGGCTTATTTATGGTAATAATATGTATACTAAGCCAGAAGGTGGCGCTTTCCTACGGCAGCCATCTTGGATGGTACACATACACAACTCTGCATTGCTCCGCCATCTTGTCAGCACTCTAGTTGTTTAATAGCTCTATGGTATTGATATACAAAATCCAACTAGAGAGGGCAGCAGACACCTTTTCTGGAAGATCATACAGTAGTTCGTTGCAGCCAGTTTGTGTTAATACAGTAGAGTCCGCCTAAGTCGAATCTTTAATGGGACTGGCATAAAAAGTTCCAGTTATACAAATTTTGACTTGCACATTTTCGAAAAAAAAAATTAACATAGAACAATATTATGTGTACTCAATGCCCACAAAATCGAATTTCATGCAAAACCGAACATTTGTTTAAGTCTAAAAATCATTCCTATTCTTCCCTTAATAAAATACTTTCCGAAAACAGGAACTCCCTATTCCGTTAAATAGACATCGTTTAACGACAGGCATACCAGACGCTGTGAAAACGAGACGCTTAGCTCGCATTGCCATCCATGGAGATTATCTTTTGATTAACATGACACACCATTAGACGTTCTCTTGGTTAAATTCAAATTCAAATTCGTTGGACCCGTCAGTGTAAATTGCAACTGCACCTCATTCATTCTTTATACTCAAGACGCTTTTCAATACCTGTTGCTAAGTTAATTACGGAGGAAATTTGTAGAGAATAAAATTTAATTTGTTATAGGTTTATTTAGATTTGACTCTAAAATAATATCATGAGGGTTTCTTATTTGTTTTTTGTTTTGTTTTTATAAATTTGTTTAATTAAATTACACCGAACTTGTTACTGTCACGCACTATGAAGCTTGGGGCGATCTGACGTCATCACAGCCGAAGCACATGTCTGCAAAACACTCTACGAAATGGACCAATTGGTGGGCTGGCAGAGTTTTGGGGGCGCGATCTGTTTACAACTAGATTGCCAACCAGCTAGTGACACTGCCCAACGAAGAATGTGTGCTTGGAAAAACATATCAGACCTAAAGTAATGCACGTAAAAACAATATGAAAGTCGCATCAATTTTATTGGTAATAGGCCTAATTAAATTTGCTGAGCAGTACAGCAAAACAACAGTAGGTATGTTAAATAATGTGTTGAATTTGCGAAGGCTGTCAGCAAAGTCCTGTTAAACCTCTCACATAAACCGTTTCCCGCTGGATAATATGGTGACGTCCTACTTTTTTGCAGTACCAGAGGTTGAAAAGTTCATCGATGAGTGCTGATTCAAAATTGGCACCTTGGTCAGAGTGTAATTTTTCAGGCATAGCGTAAGGAAGAATATATTATGTAAACGCAGTTGTGCTAGCTGTTTGATCCTTTGTGAGAATGGCGATGTCAAACTTGGTGAAATGATCAAAGATTACCAGTATATTCTCATAACCGCCACTTGGCAGGAAGACAATTGTCTTTTTCTTTCAGTTCTCAAACACGACATAATACACCATCAATTACCTGTAGACGTTAGCGTTGTTTCCATAGAGTTCTAGCTTGTGTTGTTGTTGTTGTCCAGTTATAGTTAGAAGTGCTAACTTCTGTCCCTGTAAACTGTGAACCATAGATATAATCTTTGAACTTTTGGGTACTTTTTCTTAACGCTCTGCTGGCATATGCAATTACTCTTTCACTTCCATATTGTACCTGTGATAGTATAGCGCTAAGCCACCAAGCCCACAATTACTTGCGTCCATATACAATAGAAATGGTTTTGAGTAATCTGGAAATCCGAGCATAGGTGGTGACATGAGTTTATAGCGTACATCGTCGAATGTTTGTGGACACTCCTCATTCCAATTAAAGGTTACTGGTACCGCCTTAGAGTGATTTTCACAACCGCTTGTCAGAGTAAAGAGGGGACTTGCAATTTACTGAAATAGTTTACAAACCTCTAGTAATAATCAATCAACGAAGCTCAAAAACTGACGAACATCTTTCTAGGATTTCGGTACATCCATTTTGCTGTTTACACTTCACCGGATTGAATCCGAAGTGAATTAAAAGGTCGAGAATAGAAAAGTACTTTGCTCCGCTAAGTGCATCCAATGACTTTTCTCTCCTTCCTTGGCAATGGATAGGCATCTGCTACGGTGTGTGTATTAAGTTGCTGTAGTCAGCATATCGACGTAGGCTACTACATTTCTTTCTGGTAAAAACCAAGGACTGTAGCTCTCCTTAACGTCTTTCTTGAGTAGTGTGTGTAAATGGTCTTTCAGCTTCTAGGAGGGACACGTCTGAACCCCTGCTTTATTGGGTGGGTATCTCCTGTAGGAATGGAGTGCGTTATCAAATCTGTTACACCAAAATCGTCCTCATTTATTGAGAGAGCAGCTTTATCATCTTCCAGGAAATTTATGAATCGACGGCACTCCGATTGAGAAGCAATCGAACATCTACCGGGACGGGCAGACTTTCAATTCCAGAAACAGTCTCTTTTTTTATACTCGCTTGAATTTCGTTACATCCAACTTCTACCATATTGATGTCAACTTCACACTCGGGATCAAAAGACTTCTTTTGCTTCTCTTATTTCTCCTATTACCATGGATCTGTAAATTTTTACATCAAATGAGTGAGGATTAGCTAGTCGTACAACCGATATTACATCATTCTCTATTACACAGACTGTTCGAGTATAACGGCCTTTAGCTATTTCCACCACCACGCCACTGTTCTACATTCTAATTACTTGGAACAACTTCCGGAAATTAGTCTTCGGTCCCAGCTTCCACCACGAAAGGTTTTTAATTAGCTGCACGTAACAAAGATGACCGAATTTCCGGCTTCTCACTGAAAATAGAATCTTTACATTCCGACATTACATTCATGCCAATAGTAGCTATGTTTCTTAAAATCTTTAACGATATACAGTAGAACCAAAATACTTTGAATAGTTTCATTGAAATTTTGTAAACTTAGTTAAACAATCTTGTCAGCAATTGAATCTCTTGCAAACTTAAGGCATACTATCGCACAGATTCTCCTAGTTGCTTCTCTCTTTGATAAGTGAGGCCTTGAATTCTGAAGTTTTTAACTTTTCCGCATACACCGACAACTAATGATCAAGAATATCACCTGCCGAAGGATTTACAATATCGTCAAGCATTACTCTCACAGCCTGTTCGTCTTCTGGTTCTTCAGGGTAATGAAAAAATCCTTCATCTCATCGACAAATTCATTCACATTAACGTTAGGTCCTTGCACCGGTGAAGATACGAATCGACCTGGTATCACTAAATGGTGTGTATGTCACCATAATTAAAATCACAAATCTCATCGCTGTTGTCACCAAAATGTGAGACTGAAGCACTGCAAGGATATTGGAAGGAATACATCTGTACTTTGTAAAGGTTTCATAACCACAAAATCAGTAACATTAACGATAAATCTACGCTTAGTAAATACCGTAATTAAGTCAATCAAACTTAAAAGTGACTACTAATTAGTTTAGGTACTACAAAATAATAAGAAGCATAAAGCGTAAACATCGCCATTGAACTGTATATGAAAACAGAATAACAAACTAAAGTTCAATCGTAAAACATGTCAGCCTAAGCAAGCTGTAGCAGATTTACTATGTTACGTCATCAACTAGGTTTATAGTGCAGCAAGACTTAGTAAGAATATTAAACTGCTAGCTGTAGCTCAAAAACAAATTTCCTCATAATTCATAATAGACCATCCTTCGCTTAATTAATTTTCTATAATAATAACTATATTAGTCGTTAACATATAACGATAGAGAATCACCGAAAATAATAATAATATAATAATAATAATAAAATGTGCTTTCTTTGGAGAAGTATTATAGTTGAGGCCGAGCGAGGGCGGCGCCATCTTTGTTGTTGTTACGATGAAGCAGCTACGTGACCGAAACACGAGGGGATTTCGTGCAATAAGGAACTATCGCATGTGGCTAGCAAAACACGTTAATTTATTCGCAGTGCTAGTCCAAGTTCGTTTTAAGAATACGAAATGATTTACAACAGAAAAGGCAAAAATAAAAATTATGGAAAGACTTTTCTCCAAACTTTTGAAATGAATTGGAATACAATAGGGCATATCTAAAGTATTGTCTTTAATTATTTATGTGTATATTTATACATAATATGTGTAACATATTTAGGCCTACCATTTTGTTCATCTTAGAATCGTGACTGTACGGAAGTGAAGCAATTTTCGAGTGGAAACAGTGGCGTTTATAATGTGAAACCCTGCCCATCATGCTCGCCCAGCAAAGTGTATTGTGACATGGAGACTGACGAACACGGCTGGACAGTGAGTTCATACATTCATTTATTGAGCAGCCTTCAAACAGTTAGCCCACGAAATATGATGCATATGCCTATACCTGTCTTAAAAAGAACAAAAAAGTCAACAACCCGTTCCTTATACTACATCGGCCTCACTTGTTTTGTATTTAGTCACTTTTGTTTTATTTTACCACAGTTGTTCATGTGAATTGCCAACGCAAAAATATTTATGTATTGGTAATACTGATCACTTTTTACTCTACTATCAAACTATAAATTTGTAACTTACACTAAAAATAGGCTCCCAGCGACAGCGTGTGTCTACTGCTTGACCAGTTTTCTTTTTTGGCTACTTTTAACTCATCCATGCTTTATGTTGGCAATTTATTTGAATATACGGTACAAGTAACAGATTGTTGACTTTTTAGTTCTTTCTAGGACAGGTCTTATCTAGCTTGCCATTATACCGGTATTTCGTAAACTTACTTTTTATTTTTATCTTTAGCTTATGAACCATCCCACAATTTATCCACCGGATTTATTCTTACAAAAACCAAGTGTTTAAATCTTAAATTTGACAATAATCATATCCTCATAGAAGGTAGCATATTTTTATAAATGCTTTAAAAACCATGTAAATACACTCGTTTTACCAGTGAACATAATTACACATTTAATATTACTATAGGTCCTCCAACGCAGACGAGACGACTCCGTCGATTTTTACCGAACCTGGGAAGAATATACTGACGGATTTGGGGACGTGTGCAATGAATTTTGGATTGGAAACGAGTTCATTCACAAGATAACGTCATCGGCAGTACACGAGCTGCGAATAGATTTAATTGATTATGATGATAACCATAACTTTGTCACCTACGATTCCTTCAGAATTGAAAACGAATTTGAAAAATACAGATTGCGTCTCGGAAATTACATAAGTTTACAATCGAACATTCGTAAGTGTTGTACGCTTATTATTTCATTTACAGGGGAGGACTTAGGTGGGGGGGGGGGTGGGTGGCGTCCCGGCCCCCTTTTGAGCGGTAATAAAAAGAAAAAGAAAAAAAATGATACCCCAGAACGCCTTAAATATTATTTTCGGGCGTCTAGAACACAAGATGTTCGAGGGGGCCCAAATTTTTCCGCCCCCTTTTGGACATCACTGGATCCGCCCCTGATTTATATCACATTATTATTATCATTATGTCATATCATATATCGTATCATTATTATATTATACCACATCATATATTATCATGCCATGTGTATCTTTACATGTAAAGCCATATTGCATTATATATTATACACATTATTTATACTGTACGCACAACATGTTATCACATTACACAAGGAAGTTCACTTAAACTATACAATTACGTTTTTGGATGACCCTTATACTGGCCTGAGGGTGGAGTTAAATAGCTGTTGTTGTATTGTCGCATAGCGGAAGGGAGAAACGAATTTCTAAGACGTATTGTTTTTTTGCAATAGAGAATTCTCCCAGTTCTACTAGAAGCCCAACGATTTAGCGGGTCGTGTGATCCGACGTTATTAGTTTCAAATTCTTTCTTTTAGAGGCTAAGTTATGTTACGTTACTAGATTGTTGTTTTTTAATGGTTCTTGCAAAAAAACTTTCATTGTTCAACAAATAAATCGGTCAGAGAGTTTACGAGAGAACTGATCAAACCAACACCTGTTTATGGTTTTCTTTTTTGCAACACATTTTTAAAGTAGGCGCTGCCTAATGTTTTATCGAAGTCAGTATTATATTTGATCTGTGGGGTAGTTTGTACGCGCATAAGTGTAGCCTAGATTCACAAAGCATGTGCACGTAAAATCCAGAAACAAATGTCAGGTATTATGAAGGCCTACTATAATCTTACAAATTGCTTATCATTTCAGGTGATTCGCTGAGAAATCAGGATAACTGTCAATTTTCAACAAAAGATAAAGACAACGATAATGGTAATGGCGATTGTGCTAAAATGTATCCTAGCGGGTGGTGGTTTAATGCATGCTTTTATGTTAATTTGAACGGCAATGGGTTTTCCGCAGAGGTACCAAACGCTGATACCTCTAAAGGAATAACGTGGTTGATAAACGAATCAACCTCGACTAGACGGCAGTACAGATTTTCAGAAATGAAAATTCGAAGGATTGGACCATTCTAGGTGTAGGCCTATGTGCCTCACGCATCTGAATGAGTTTTGAAACAAAAACACCTACAAAAAAATTAACTTGAATAATAAGCAATTAGTAGAGCCGCGCACAGTACACTAGGCCTATAGGGAAATTATTTTACGAAGGTTAGATTTAATGCTTGAAAAAAATTCCTGATGGCCCTGGCCCGAAGGAAATTTTTGAATGCATTAAATCTAACCTTGTATAATAATTTTCCGCTAGTGTACGATACATGCAGCTCTACTAATTACAAGTCAATCAATTTGATAATCAAATATTGTACTGTTAGCATTCATCGGTTGCTATAGTGATGATCTGTATACGGTAAGCGTATTTACATTTAGCTGTTTATTCTTCTGCAATATGCTTAACACGCAACGACGACGTTAAGCACCATTCCCGGCAAAATTACACTATTAAAAAAAAGATTTTGTTTAGAAAAAATGCATATGCATTATTATAATTATTATAAACCATGGGAAAATGTTGGTATAAATTTTAGTTTTACGCAAAAAGATTTTAAAAAAATGAGAAATAGAGACTATTTTCTCATGGGAGAATACATTTTCTCGACGACTTCTTGTTACCAGGCAAATTTAGAGGTTGTAGAACGCATCCGCTGGAATGCTCTCACTTTTATGCTGTATACTTTATACAGTCATTAAAGTGCACCCTCCTAATAAGATTAGTTTTGTACTTCGCATCTCGCACACTCCGTTCGATCGAGTAGGCCTGAGATATGTTTGTGTAATTGTAAAAATCTCGGTGAGAATTGTTACAATATTGTATTGTATGACCATTTAGGGCGCAATACATATATGTGTTGCTGAATAATGGCACATAGTAATGAAGTACATGAACGTAGTCCGTGCATTGTCGTAGGCCTACCATTTTCACAAGACGTGAAACAAGAATCGTGTTTTATAACAAATTTGAAATAGTTCCAATGAAATATATTTCAAAAGTGTCAGTACTAGCAATGGAATTTTTTTATGTCGGATAACAGAAGTTAAATCGAGGTAAGGCTAGACCTAGCCTAGCATGCAGTGTTGGATAGGTTACTATATTTCTTGGCAGACCTATCGCAAAATCAAACATAAAAAAAAATTATCCGCGTTTATTTTTTGTGTGGAACAAATATAAAAAATGATGTGCCCATTTTATATGGGCACGATGACGTCATATCACATAATTTCAAATTGTATCAAAAAAAGTTCAACTTTTTTATGTTGTCTGTCAAGAAATTGTCAATTTTTTAGAAAACACCTTTTGACCAGTAAGCAAACACTACAAATCACACCAACCAATCGGATTTAATAATTTTTTTACAGAACAGACATCACATTTTTGAGGTGACGCTTTTTTGATTAAATCTGATAGTGTAATAGACAGAGTTTGGTTACATCAGTAGCAGATGCGATGAATAACTATTTATTGTGTTTGAAGGACTTATGTTATTTTGATACTCTTCAAAGAAATAAGCATTTGAGAGGATATACGGTAATACATTTTTGGTCTGTGCCGACAGGTAAAATCGTGTTATGATTTCATATTTAGACTACGATCTAGGCCTCGGCCTTCTGCTTAGCTGGGCCAGGACTGGGTACATCTAATTTCATTTCTTGATAAATTAGGTATAGAATATTCCTATAGTATTAAAGGTTCAGTCTCTTTTATCCATTGATTCAAGGAATTCCTTAACTATACATACTAAAAGTAAATTTCTTCTAATCAATCTAAATTTCAATTACCACTCAGTCAACAAACGACGACTGGGTGAGTGACGTGTCTGCCCTGTCTATCCGCAGGCGCGCGTCGTAGTGCTAGGTGTAAAAACACTAGCCTAAAATTCATCGCGGTGCGCGTTGGTGATATACAATTTGAATTGGCACACGAGCCTAAAAAAGATCAAACCAAAGCGTACACTACGTGAAAAATAGTGAACTGTTATGGATAGTCAAATAACTGGTAGTTGCAATGATGACGTCACGATTGACCTATATATTAAATATTAGTGATGATAATAACAGGCCTAATAATGATTATCATGATAATGAGGATATTGATAATGATAAATGATAATAATACCACACATATTTGTGCACATAATAACCCAATGCACAATTTTTTCTTACATTGTACAACTTTACTACTGTGATGTAAG